TGTGTTATTTCTTTTCAATTGTTGTTAGTTATACACGTACTTCACTTTAAATAGCGACAATATATAAAATGCAAATACTTTCAGTAACAATAAAAATAGTCTTTAAAAATAGTCTTTGAAACGGTTTGATTGTCAGAAAAGCGCTATACTTACTGAATCATTTATAGTGATATTTAAGGAAATGTCTGAACAGTCTAAGAAGCCAATCACATAATTTGTGTTATATGTAGAATTTTCTTTTACCATGATTGTATAGTTATCTGAAATTTCAGGAAAACATGTCTTGAAATTATGATGTAATACAGAACCTTTTATCTACGTATCTATATGCGAGTGTGCGTGCGTGTATGTAGGTATGCATGCCTGCGTGCGCGCACGTACGTGCGTGTGTGTTTGACTTTGATTGATTTTAAAACATGCTAAGAAGATATCAACAGAGCAAAGACCCACATTTGTATTTACCTATTTTGCTATAGTTGTTAATACATCTACAAAAACATAACATGTTATACGATAATGGGATAGTATTATAAGGATATAAAATGTAAGATTAAAAAGATACATAAATAGACTAACGAAATCAAAATATTAATGATATTTTTAATTTTTCTCACTCACGCAAAATGCCCTTTTAACAAAATATTCCATTTTATTTGTTTGTAATGTATAGACATAACATTGTCAATCATTTGACGACCCCATTTATTCAAAATAACCCTTTCTTATTTCGATGATAAAAGAATCCATTTCTTATATCTGAACTGTAATGCATGTATAATCACAAATGAAACTTATAACCAAACCCAGTTTAATAAAAACCATATAACTTCACATTACACATCAAATTATTTTTTTTTAATTTCTTTCACAGTTGTATTTAAGTGAGAAAAAAACTTTTCCACCGTAGCTTCAGAAACAAAACAAGAAAATATAGATAAGCTTCAACGACAAAATTGTGATACACATGCCTTACAACGTTCATATGTTCACGTTTAAAGTCAGAAAGTAACTTTAAAAACATGGAAGTATAAAGGCTCTAATATTCAAGTCTAATGAACTGCAGCATGTCATTAGACTGCTGTGTTTCGGTATACTCTTACTTTTGACTCTAACTTTAGTGTTCAACATCATTGGCGACCAATGAGTCGCAACATTTCATTTTTTTTAAAATGCACTTCTTAATCGTATAGACACTTAATAATTAAGTAGAACACTTAAAACGTAATAATTAAGTGTGTAAACTAAATGTAATTGCCATGCCTTATTAGGACATTGGTACAATTCTAAGCGAGAACTAGGTCAGCGTTGCTTCATACCACTGCTTTTATGGCGGGGTCATTTTGTTTATAATTTGCATGGAAAAAATAGAAAACCCAATATTACGGTAATTTTGAACTAACAAATGTAAATAACAAATAAATGATTGTCATTTAAACATTTATAACTTAATGCAAAAAGGCGAATGAAGGGTAAAGTTTCATTCACCTGAACATTTTGTATAGGGGTTATGATGTTATTTCACTTCACATGAAACCCTCAAAGACAAAATTACAGAGAAGAGCTAAGGTTGATATCACAAAAACCATTCATGTCCAATATTGTTCATACAATTGCAGCATTCAGCGGTACACGACGTAAATAAGTGCGCTTTGTCACCAGATTAACCTTTTCTATTTATATATATTGACTGACGTAAGTAATAGATGAAAAACGCTTCCAAAACGTCACGCATTGCTTTGTAAACAACTTTCTATAGGCTGGAGGCGTTCCAGTGGGGTCAAATGAGGTTAAACCCACAGTCGCTTCCTGACGGTCGCTTCGTTTTCGGTCCTTAATTGCTAACATTGCACTTAACACTGGGAAGGGCTACATCTAGTGTTACTTGTTGCCCAACCAATTTGCTTTTTGTTATAAACTCATCATTTGTATAATATTTGACACGTACTCGTATTCTGTGCAATTAAGTATATTAAACTAAACTAGCTAAAATAAAAAACTTAATAAACACTAACATTGACTTAATATACTTATTTCATTACCGTTATCTTTGATCGTACTTCAAGCTCCGATTGTATCATTGAAGTTTAGGGACGGCATAATGTTTCTTCATAAATGACAGTGACACGTGGTGTTTAATAATCCTCTCACAGTGGAATGGTAAAATTTTAAACTAAATTACTGTAAATTTTATCGTCACTTAGTTATTATTAGAATATCAGTCAATTTTGTATATACAAATGATATAACGAAATGGTGTTTTACTTACTTTTGACTGGAATTGGGGCGTAATAGTTCGGAGATGGTGATAAAGTTGCGTTTTGAAATATTTGGAACCATCCGTCTGTAGCATACATCTGTAAAAAGAAAAGAAGAAAAGACCCTATTATTTAATGGATGGGCCAAGATAATATTTGTACTTGCTTTAGGTGATTTAACTGTGAAAATAAAATGTTCTTATTAAGATAGATTTATTTTTTGCGTATGCAAAATAAAAAAAATGTATAAGATAGTAAGATATTACTGGTATGTAACACGTATTTGTAACACATTCGTATTTCGTTAATATACGTTGTTACAAGTAGGGTCATTTAATTATTTTGGTTAATGGAAAAGAAAGGCGTTCGATGCATGGTTATAATATTTTCATTTAGGCTGATATTTCCTTCAACCTTTCCCTTAGTCCGTCTGTCTGTGTGCCTGACTGCATGTATGTATATCTGTCTGTCTGTTTGTCTGTCTTTTTATTTTTTTGTCTGTTATACGTGTTTCCAAACAAATACAACTTTGTGGCAAAAGTTAGTGAACGAATGAGATAATAATGCATTTCACGGTTGATGAATGGTACAATTGTCATTTAAAGTAGATAGAACTACGATGGGCACATTTTCAAAAAGTATTTCAAATATTGATAAAAATATATAAATATATATGTTTCATTTGGATTTTCTTATAAAATACTGCTTGAAAAAAATATTTATAAAGTTCTAAGTGATTTAGAATGACCATGTATCGGATGTATATCAATTGTTTGTTCAGAATTCAGAAAACCAAGTAAAAATTGCGCTGCAGTCTTGTTATTTCGTTTATTTCTCATCTACAAATTTCATATAAATGTAGCTATGCATAGCGTAGAGATTCTCAACAATTGTGTCCTGTCAATTTCTTTAATCCTGAATTTTTACTGTAATACTAATATTTTACTTTAACCGTTAATGTCTCGTAATAAACTTGTTTTTGCATGTAACTTTCGGAAACTCTGCCGTCCATGACGTCGCTAAAAATGGAGGCGACTTAACGTGACATGAGAGCATTTAGGTCCACAAGGTGAACATTTTCTTAACAACTTAAATTAAATGAATGTTAATATTTTTTTTTGTTATTTTGATATTATTATCTGTTATATAAATATATGTTATAACAGATCATGTATCTCACACGTGCCAACATTCCAATAAACATTTTTTTGTGTTGTGTTGTTATGGCTATATACTAAATACTATCGACGTAATTATTCATTGTACATGTATAATATATTTATAGACCATTTCACTTCAATAGATATCATTATTTTGAAGATAGTGGTAGTGATGATAGCAGCGGTAGTTTAAAGTATTTGCTCTCGTTATTGTTGCTGTTGCTGTCGTCCTTTAACTTTAGTACAACTTTTTGTACATCATCTACATCACCAATCACTAACAATATTTGCCTATGGCTGTATACACTTTTATGAAATAGTAAAAGTTGGTAATTATCTTAAGCCAATAATTCTGACAATGTGTTTTGACAGAATTATGATCCTTTTTGAACTTGAAAATGCCTGATTGAAGTTTTGCATGCAATATTAGTGTTCAAAACTAGCAAATGTATTCGCTTAAATCTTAATACACGTCTTTGGGGTCATAGTTGAGGGGCTACTATCCAAGGCCTATAACTCTGACATGGATTTTGACGAAAATATTATCCCTTTTGAATTTAGAAAATACATGGTTAAAATTATGCATGCAACATCAATTTTTAAAGCTAATGAAGGTATTGATGCTTTCACAAAAAAAGAATAAAATATAATAGATAGAAATATATAAATCAGCAAATGTTTTTTTAGTTAACATAAAAGAACGTATTCCAACATGGCTTTCTTCCAGTATATTTGGTCCAATGTTTACTCCATTTCCTTTCTGAAAAAGGATAAATCTTCAGAAAGGGGTTCTGCACTATTTGATTTTAAATCATTTAGAGTTAGCAAACTCTATTATCACTATATTTGCAATTTAGTCATCGCTTAGTGCTTCTGGTTATACAAGCTGACAACTGTTTATCTTTGGGTCATATAACCTCAAAATCTGCATCAATATACATGTTGTGCTAGCATACTTAAATAAGAACAAATGATGACCTTCCAAAATTTATTGTCTTAAATCGAAATTTTTACGAGGTATTGATGGTAAGGCCTAGACCATTAACATGTACAAAATCAAAACTGACTGGTGTTTTGAAATTTTACTCGAGTCTAAAAAATACCATAAATAAAGTTTATTTCAAATTTAATCCCGTTGGAATATTCTCTTTTTTATAATTTGACTAGAAAAGAACATAACTCTTATCACAAATTTGTCGATTATATTAAAACCGAACTTAAATATATTTATGATTACATCTTCCAAAAAAAGTTTTTCTTTATCAAAAATCTACACAATCAATGAAATCTTTATTATAATTATACATTTTGTCTAAAATTTATCTGAACTATCTACCAATTAGTCGTTTGTTATTATCTTCTATTGAGGTTAAATATTATAAACTTTGTATGAATATCTTTAACCATGTCTTTCGAAACCATTTCATTGATAATTTGTTTTTAAAAATGTTAAACAATATTCGTCAATGGCACAATTGTCTTCAACAGCAATTTGTGTGTTTCAAAAGGACATTAGAATATGACAAATGTCAAAAAAAGTCTTACAAAATTTATCCTGTGGAAATAAAGAATCTGCGGACATACAGAAAGATAGTCGGATGTACACTGCCCTCTCATATAGTGCATCAAAATCAAAAAATAAAAATCGGATATAAAAAAAATGGACCTCCGCGAGTCGGATGTGTCGCCTTGTGAAAAATCTAGTTTAGGAGAAAACTCAAAAAATAAGAAATTGTGCACTACACTTCTTCTTAATGAGATCCATCATCCTATGAAGTTTCAAGTCCTTAGCTTTTATACTTTAGGAGAAATGGCCTGGACAAAAATAAAGTATGAAAATAAACAAAGACCAATAATTCAAAAAATAAGAAATGCAGAGTACCGGCTCATGTGCACCGCACTTTTTCTTAATGAGATCTATCATCCTATGAAGTTTTAAGTTCATAGCTTTTATTCTATAACAAAAATGGCCCGGACAAAAATAAAGTATGAAAATTAACAAAGGCAATAACTCAAAAATTAAGAAATGCAGAGTACTGGTTCGTATATACTGCACTTTTGGTCATTATAAGAGGCATGCATACCAAGTTTGAAGTCAATCCGCCTTTTTAAAGGCGACACAAAAACTTTTATTTAAAAAGACAAAAGTGTTAAATGTTTAAACTTCTCTTGCAAAATTAAAAAAAATAAACGCTACTCTTTAGAAAATATACAATACATTTTTACATTTCAGCCGATACATTTCAGGAGCACCATGTCATGTATCTGATACTTCACTTAACAGAGATATGAAGGACAAAAGGTTGATGATGTACTTGAAAATTACTGATTAAACTGGTTGAAGAACGTCTTCTGTTACAAATGTGATTTTATTATTTCAACCCCTGTTTTGGTCAATCACATTTGTAACACATTTTATCAAATGAGATCAAATTTGCAGCACAAGTGTTTCAAATATGAGGGTCAAATACTGGTACAGTACAAACTATTTTTAATACTCAAATAGCATTGAAAAAAAATCCATAATGATACCTCAACACTGATAGATCTGGAACATTCTGGGTAACGATAAGGATCAGTTGAGTTTTCCTTATATTTTACTTTTCCATTCGTCGAGTTTATTTGAAGCCGACGGTCACTGCCGTCTGTTAAATGAAACGTGATGTTCCTGTATTTATTGTTGCAGTCATAATCATGTATAGAGCTCGGTTGCCTGGAAAAAATAACAAGCTAAGATTTGCATGTACATACGGAAACATGGTGCAATAATCGGCTACTTTAGGAACAAGGTAGGTGAGACAGGGGAAAGACACGATATCGATGCATATAATATATAAAATATATCATACAAATGTTCAATATAATATAATGATATAGCTAATCACTGTAAGGCAACTAATAAATATATTGAATGATTACAAACTAAAGAAAATTAACCCGTTAACCATTTATTGTTAATTTTATTTCAAGTTTGATTAGGTAAATGTCACATGTTCAATAATGTTAAAGTTTAAGACATTTCCATATGTCATGTTAAAAGACAATAAAGCTTAAATAGGTTATATTCTCCTCTTCTCAAATTGAATGTTTGGTGACTCTTGTTCAGATTTCCGAGAAAGTACTCATTGCCCATACACTTTAACCATCTTTTGCTTCTTTTGCTTTTTTTTATAATAAGAACAGTTAAACAGTGATATAGTATTTTAATGGACGTCAAAATGCCAACATATTTAATTTTTGTTATATTTATCATTACTTCAAGTTAAGCACGTTTTAAGTCTTCCAATATGAACAAACCGCTTTGTCTATAGACTTAAAAGAGTATGACTCTACTTGTAGAAGAACAACATAATTCTCCCTTTTTAAATTTAAAAGAAGCGTAAGGCCATTGATTTTTTTGACTGATTAAAACCACGTACATAAACCTAATAAATAGAGAAATTATAACTTCTAGACATTTTACATTTAAGCAACAATGTACGATTCAATGTAAAGACCGTAACCAAAACAAGGACTTATATAGGCAAAACGTGTTTCCACAGTTATAATATGGGGCACACTGGATGTTAAACGTACCATGTTTAGAAATATACATTACGCCAAATAAGAATAAAGATTAAATCAGGTTAAAATTTGCCAGAATCTTAATCAGCTCCTAAACTAATGCCATTAGTCTGAGGATTTCTGCAGATGCTTTTGCACGAAAATAATAAATTCGTTAGTGTTATTTCTGTGTGTTAATTAATTTGTTTTTCATATAAAAAAGGCCATTTTTCTCGTGCTTTTTTGTGATATAGCGATGTTATTTAACACTTTTATACAAAAGGCAGTCATTGCATTCAATATTTTTTATTACGCTCCGAGTCACGAATATTGAAAATGTTCACAATCAGATCGTGCTTGCATGAATATATAATGAATATAAATATCATTTGTGTTTTTTTTTTCTATGTTCACCGATGGACGATGGGGTGGTGGTGCCGCAAGTGGTGTTCTTGTTTTGCTTTTATGTTGGTGTTTTTATTTGTTTTAGCGTGTTTCTTTCCTTTTGCAACACTCTTATATAAAACAATAGAATAGATAACTTAATTTATGCCTTATATATAATACTTACGTAACTGGAATCCAACTTTTCGAAGGGAAACTAATGTCTAGATGTCTCAACTTAAATATCGGCCTTTGATTGTTGATGTCCTGAAAAATTGGATGCAAAGTATTTCAATTTTACTTTAAATTTGATCTAATTTACGCAATGTTTCAAAAGGTTTCAAAAGTATTTATTATAATTGCGTCTAAGCATCTTCAGAATTGTTTACTGTCGTAAGTAAAATGAAGGACGTAAATTTTTGAACGAAATACTGTGACGTCATGTATTTCAGCAGGAATAATCAAATCAATCAAAGTTTATTGATTAACGTGTCGTTGCCCTGTCCTTTTTATGTTTGGGGTCCGCCTGGGCTCCTTGCCATTGGTTCTTGTTGCTGGGTCATATGGGGGTTGCGTTCATTGAACGCCGCCTTTCCTTGTTGATCTTGTTTTTCATATTTTACTGATGCAGTAAAAGATAGAAAACGAATTTTATTATTTAGTTACGCCAATAAAAGTAAATTATTTTTTACTCTTGAACGCCGACTGTAATATTTTCACGACACCACTTTCCGATGTTCTCTTTCTTTCCCAAGTACTAGTTGCTTGTTAGTTAGATTGGCAATTGATTTATTTTAAATACATGTATCTATATTTCTTATCTCATATGATTTATCTGCTTTAATTATTGCTTACGTTTTTCCAATTAAAACTTCTCTGTGGCTCTGAATTGCAATATATAGAATTCTCATGCACAATATCAATAAGTAGTAGTTACAAAGTTTTGTTTATGGTTATTATAGACATTAATTTGTATATGTTTGATGAACCACTTAATGTCATAATCTTATAGTATTTTAAGCTCCCTTTTTCGTGTAAATTCTATAAAATTATATGTGATTCTGTACTGTAGTTTAGTGTCGGCTCGGACCTTTAAGGCCAGTAGATTTATCTTGAAGGTCAGCGCTTGGCCTGAACAAAAACATTGTCAGATCAATAACGAAATATACATTTTGCCTTGTTATATTTTTCTGGTCCTTCGGAATCATTGAGTACATCGCTTTTAAGTGTTGAGAATTGAGTACCGCTCAAAGTCGGTGCTAGGGGGCTTGAGGGATGTTGCAATTTTTCTTTATCCCTCATATACAGGCTCATTCTAAATGCTTCCGAGCGATCTCTTTTTAACAGATATTTATCATAGCGCAATGTTTTATTGTGGATGATTTATGCAATGTCGTATTTTGCTTTTTGCCACACAAATGTGAAATGAGAAAATTCAAAGACACAAAAAGTTGACTTGACGTACAGTTGTGTTTTCGCATGTTAACATTTTTCGTGTCGAAAAAATGCCATTTTGTTAACCTGCTACCATACATGTGAAATAAATCTACACATGCGTAACCGTAACACAAAGATGAAAAAAGGCAACAATTTGAAAAAGTGTTTGTGTTATCATCTGTTATATTACATGAAATGTTTCAAGTAATAAGACATATTTTAAACGGTATCGATAGACCGGGTAACCTTACGTATACCATAACCAATTATCTACTATTAAGAAGTATTTTGTCCATCATGAGCAACTGTATATTATGTGAAAAAGCTGATATGGTTTTGAATGTCTTAGGGGTTATATCATCATATTTATAGCTCTGTCACTATTTCTTGTCTCTTGTGTTGTGATCTTGTTGTTTTTGTTTTGTTTTTAATTCAAATTATTAACAAACGAAAGGTTTAAATCATGTTATAGCAGTTTTTCAATGAAAAATCGTGACGTGTGGCTCGGGTTATATTTCCAAAAGACCGTTAATATAGTGTCATATAACCTGTCAAAAATCTTTATTACAAATAATATATAATATATGCGTAATTCGGAATCCGACAACAAAAGTGAACTCAAAGGTTTATGATAATAATGTTCAAGAAAAAACTGTTATATTTGTATTGATGTCACTGAGAAATGAGATGAAATCTTAGTCCAAGTTAATTAAATATATTTTGTTGTCATCATTTTGTGTTCCCAAAATGACCATGTATGAGAGCCGACAAAATCCTCAATGATCTATAAAATATCAAATTGACAGAATACTTTGACAACACATGTCAATTTCATACCTCGTATATCTTTGTATATTTATCGCGATCATCATATATGGACAATACAAGGATTAAATACATACCTCTATATTTATTGTTATTGTCATATATGGATGACTGGCATTTGGAATGTACGGCACGATATTTTCAGCTGTAACATTAAAACTAAAAGTCTGATTTGTACATTGCTGGTCGATATGAGGCAGCTTTAGCATGCTCAGAACACCAGTTGTGTTGTCTAAACTCATAGGCTCATTTACATCATCTTGTAGTCGATAACGTATAATTTTATTCTGGTTGCTCTTGTCTAGGTCTGTCGCCTATTGAAATGAAAGTAAAGTAAAATGCAAACATAAAGTAAAACAGTCTGGATGTAAATTTGTTATCACGAGTGCTGGGTCTAATTCAAAATAGATAAAATCATTAGATGACAATTATTGTCGTTTATACATTTATTTTAGTTCGATTGTGTTGGAAGCTGTAAGCTTATTGAAACACTCTCGAATCCGTTCCTTGAACCAACCAGTACTAAGTAATGAATGTAAGGTTTCTTGCTCAATGAAACAACGGCTTGTCTATGATATGGTTTGAACCAACGCGGTCAGCAATCCTTAGATCACTAGTCCGAGGTGTTACCCACTCGGCCACGACGCGACTTCATTTTCACTATTTCTATATAAGTATGTTACAATTATTTCATTACAGCTAATTAACGTAAAGATATGAATTATATAAAATATTTTAAAGAGTTTTTAAACGGAATGTTTTGTAAGGACTTTAGTTCTTTCAAGTTGTTTATAACATTTAAGAGAAACATATCAGTTTTCAGAACTAACTTATACTAAACTTTATATGCTATATTGATACAACGGTATTCGAATCAGTCGCTTAAACAGATATTTGAATAGGAAACTGTCCAGTTATTTGTTAGATAAAATAAGCATACCTGTACTTTGTAGATATGTGTGAGATATTCTAATGGTGTGTCTTCAAGGACTGTTATATTGAATTTTGTTTCTGGTAATATCGGACGATTATCATTTATATCTTCAACGTTAATCGTCACGAATGTTTGGTTCGTTAGAGCAGGTGTTCCTTTGTCTTTTGCAATAACAAAAAAAGAAATATAGCCTGTATCAGGAATCTGTTCCCGATCAATTCCTGTTGTAGATATATTACCAGACATTCCATCCACACAAACATTCATTTTCCTGAAACTAATTGAGCATTTATTTCAAAAGAATATTCTAAAGTTACTTCTTATTCATGCTAAACGTTTCCTTACAGGAAAGAAAAAAGTGGAAAAAGATCTCCCCTCAATGATATAAAGATGTGTTTACCTAGACATCTTTTGTACAGCGACACTATTAAGCTGGAAATTGTGCTGTCATTCGTTTCAATTTAAATGAAAGTGAAAAACGTCAAGTAAAAAATGAAATTCTTTTATAACGTTTCATATTATCATAATCATTAAAGGTGCAAGCATCCAGATGAGTCAAAATATTTAAAGGCAATCAAACTTGAGAAAAAGTACCAAGATTAAAGAAAGCTAACGATTCAAGATTGAAGTAATAATTAACATGCTTTGTGCAAAAATGACTGATTTTGCAGTAGTTACTGCTATTATTCTACTCCATGACAAAAAGGGCTACATATGCACATTTTGACCTTCTTTCGTAATTTTACGTGGATTTTAAGTGCCGTTTGCAATTTGTAAAGTTCTTTTTCTGTTCACTTCACAATATTTTTCTTATAATTACATTTTTATTAATTTTTATGAAAGGAAGCATCAATTTGGAGGCGTGCTGCATTAATACATTTTATAGTAAGATAAAGTCTTATCTCGTTGTTGCTAACCTTGTTCATTCATGCCCAATTACTCCATATCTGAACATGTGGGCGGATATGGGATACAATATTGTTAAAATTAGAATGCATCTGTTTTAATGGAACTATATTTCGTTTTGTTTTCCCCATACAAGTACATAGTAACTCGGCTTATCCGTCAACAGAAAAATTGCACATAATCAAAGTTTTGGGACCATTCGGTTTAAAATGTGTCAGAGTTTAATCGTATACATATACATGCACAGTGCATTAACTGAAGTTTGCCTGTATTTGTTACATTTGGCTCGATTTTTATGAGGTTTACCTATTGTGACGATAGAAAGGGATAGCACAGATGCTCGTTTTTTGGTTACTTTTTTCTGGGGTTTTATATTGTGACAACAGGGGACTAGTTTTTTGCTTATGATGCAAAAGAGAAAACACATCAACACTCGGCAATCTGATTTATACGCCGGAGCTATGCCCCATCGTACAAATCAGATAGCCTCGTGTTCCGATGCTCTTTCTATTACTTGTTCATATACATATATATATAATATACATGTTAATTAAATAAAATACAAATAAAGCATCCTTAGTTAACACCCAAAACGATTTTATAAGGCGGACGAGCACCACCTAGTCCGATGTTATTTTTTAAACTAATATCTTACCATTTACTGTCGTCGTCAATAAAGTACTCAACTTTGCCATTTTCATCCTTATCAGCGTCTGTGGCCTTTAAAATATATTT